ATCCCTGGGGAGGCTGGAGGTCAGCATCTGTGGAAGGTTTGGTGCTTTACCGACACTTAACCTCTCTTCTTCCAGCCTAAGCCTTAAACGGGCAAAATGCGAGTCGTTTGGAGTCCCTGAGATAGCAGGAGGTTATTTATTTGCCTGGGGGTCTGTGCTGCTGTAGTAGCAGCCGGCTTTTGTTTTGTGGAGTTCAGGAAGGGTGTGAGCGGAGAAGCGGTGGGAGCCATTCTTAACTCTTCCCTTTCTGCCTTTGCACACTGCAGACAGCCTATTTTAAGGTGCGCAGATGTTTCTGCTACTCTAGTCCTTGGTAGTTGCTTAAGTGGCTTCTTAGAGCAGCTGTTCCCTTGTTTATGTCTCTGATTTCATTGCAGTGCTTGGCTTTTTTGGTGATGGGAAGAGGGAAAAAAATACTGCGTCTCTGGTGTTCTGTTGCTCTGCCCTTATCAAATGTGTCCTTACTGGTGGCCTGTCCTTCTGCAGGGGAGGCATTTCCATTGTAGCTGGGGCCCGGTGTGGTCCCCTCTGGCCCATCTGCTGTCCGAAGGGTGATTTCAGCAAGCGTGACGAGGAGTGGGAGAACATTCATAGTTTAATAAAATTTGCCTGCAGTCTCTCATCTTTCCCTCTAGAAGTGGTTCTGCCACATGAGAGCTCGGTGCTCGCATCCCTCGTGCTCTGTTCAGGCTCTCTGCTTTGTTCTTTGCCATTGAGCTGATTTTCAGACTTGTTCACTTGGTAGTAGCGTGCCAGTTCTTTGATCTTTGCCATTATCACTGCTTTGCTTTTGCTCGTGGGGTACCTAAGCTGAGGTGCAAATTACAAGCTGGTGGAGTGAAAGAGGAGGGAGATGCAGCTGTGTGCCAGTTCTGTCTGGGACAATGGAGAGCTGCAGGAACAGCATGAGGGAAAGCTCTTCTGGGAATGTAGTTTTACTTAAAAAAAAAAAAAAAAAGGCTGTTTTTCCCCAAATTATGAAATTGAGGAATTGATGTAGGTGCTAAGAGCACAGTAACAATTCTCATTTGTTTTAGAACATGTGAAAACGTTACGTAAGCATACTGTGAGAATTCGTAAGTGCATAATATTGGTTTACCTGTTGGATTATGGCTAAGCTGATTCCATTTATTTCCCACTAGCTAAAAGAAATGATAGCTGTATACATTGTGTTAATAAGAGAGAATACCTGAAGGGAGCTACAAGGATGCTGAAGAGGGACTCTTCATCGGGGACTGCAGCCATAGGACAAGGGGTGATGGGTTCAGACTGAAACAGGGCAAGTTCAGGTCAGATCTAAGGCAGAAGCTCTTCCCTGTGAGGGTGCTGAGGCGCTGGCACAGGGTGCCCAGAGAAGCTGTGGCTGCCCCATCCCTGGCAGTGCTCAAGGGCAGGTTGGACACAGGGGCTTGGAGCAAGCTGCTCTAGTGTGAGGTGTCCCTGCCCATGGCAGGGGTTGGACCTGGATGAGCTTTAAGGTCCTTTCCAACCCAGACCGTTCTGTGAAAAGTCAAATAAAACATTGTGAATAAGAAACATTGCAATATCCTAAGCTTCCTAGAGAAGCAGCAAATGAAGCAGCTCTGCATCTCTCAGTGGAAAATGGGACAAGCTGTTGAAGTTCTCTGCTGTTGTAGAGCATTCCATAGATATCTGATAATTAAATCTTTCTTTAGATGCTTTGGTTTTCAGTTGCAACACTACAAATAACAATTCCATCAGAAGCGGTGGGTGGTGCGAACGATCTGTTGTTGAGAGAGACCGGTTCGGTTCGGTGTTTGCTTGCAGCCTGTAATGCTCAGTTCAGGATGTAACTGCATACTCTCTCCCCACATGAGGCGTAATTACCACTCCTTAAACCCCTTAATCTCAAGCAGTTACAAGCTCGTACATTGTTCTAATTGCAGATTTAAAACTCCTGTGCTTTTCTCGTGCAATTACGTTATAATGCAGACAGTTATTAATTTCTGCTTTTCTTGTTATCTGATCAGTGTTAATTGTGCGCGGCCCCACAACGTGTTCGTGCCTCATTCAGCACCAGTGAGAGGAGATCCAGTGCAGCAGGTTTGCAAGGCTGTGCTTTTCTCTCAGCCCGCTGTAATCATTTGTTGTGTTGTAAACGAGGGACTTGTTAGCAAAACAAAAGGGCAATTATACATTTAAATCCTCTGCTGTTTGTAAATCCAGGTGCTTGCTCTTTGAATAGCGTTTAGCTTAGCGCAGGCTGCTCCTGAAGTGTGTGAGAGGTGTTGGTTTGGGGTTTTCAGTTGGTAAGTGGGGGTTACCTGCAGACTTCGGACTTTCGGGATGAGCTTTCCCAAAGTGAAAACGAAGGCAGCTCTCGTTTAGAAGGCATTGCGAGTCTTGGGGACAAGATGTAAGAGGATGTGCACGAGTTGCCGTAGGTCTCACTTGTTGCTGTATTGTTCTTATGCACACATTTTGTATGCAAGGGCTTTGGATGAGTGCATTTGGAACAAGTCATCATCAGTCCGATGATTCATCTCAGGAACTGCATGCAGCACTTACATCTGTAATTGGGATAATTGCAAAACTCTCACTCTTACAGATAGAAATCCTTCTTCTTATCATTCCAAAAGCAGATCGCAGCTCTTTTACTGTGCTAGCTGAGGCCTACACTGACTCCTCTTTATTTCTCCGTTCGTTTTTGTTGCATCATTCAAAGTAGCAGATGATTTGGTGACCTTTCCAACCTGGGTCTGACCTTCATGAGTCACTTGTGCGGGTAGTTGGCTATCGAAATGACTCTGCTTTTATCTTTGCCGTTACTTAAACAGTGCTTTTAATGGGGTGGCACAGGCTGCATTGTAAATGCAGTCCCAGCATTGCTGGGGACAAGGTTGGCAGAAAGGAGCATTAATGGCAGGGTGGAGTCTGTCCTCTGAGGGATCTCGACATTCATGGAGAGGAGGTATTGGAGATTTTGCTCTGTCATAAGTTGCCCACCTTCTTTCCTGTGTGTGTTGTTAGACTCCTTGTGGGGCTGCAGTGGGTTCATTTCAGTACTCCGAAAGAAGGAAAAGGCACACAGCTAGCTATTTCGATGGAGTCGATGTTTAATATGCTAATGGATCTACCCAATATTAGGATGCAAAAACTCTTGGCTTTAATGTGTCTTTAAGAGTAATAATGTGGTTAACTGATGATAAATTAAGTATTGCAATTTGGGGGATTGTTTTTTCTTCCTTTTTTAGTAAAAAAATGAATGTAGGCAAACCAGGACATAGGGAGAGGTAATGCTGTTCAAATACAAAATATTAATGGATTAAGGGGCATTTATAGTCAAAGTGGAGGTTTTCAAAGCATTTCTTCATTCTTCAGACCTCCCGGTATGGTTTAGCTCAGGCACAAGTTAGGGTTAAACGGAGAACTGATCTCCGCATTTCTGGCACTGTATTCCCGTTCATACTCTGCACTTCTTTTAAACTGAGTTCACACATTTCTCTCTGTATTTTTACACCTCTCTCTGCAGAGGGGTATTGGTAAAAGGGGGAGCTGGTCTCTACAGGCACTCCTGGAAAGAAGTCAGGCAGCTGCAGGGGGGAATCCTGTAGAGAATCAGCAGTGTAAAAGCCTGGAGCAAGTCTGAGTTTAAATTGCATCTCTCAATGATCAGGGGAAAGACAGTCCTGTCAGTTTAATTTGCGCATTGATCATAAAGCCCTAAAGCATCTTAGTTGGCTTAAAGGTATCTGCTTATAACAGTGACCTGAAGAAACAGCTGCATTCTCAAAGGAATGAATGGGATGAAGGATTTTTTCTTCTTTTTAAAGAGAGGGGGTGAGGAAGGAAATAAACAGCAAAAAGGGGGTATTTAGATAAGGGAAAATACCAGTTTTGATAAATATGATTCCTCAAGTATTTATTTTCATCTCGAGTGGAGGAGATACGATGCTGCCTATTTGGTGCTTGTTTTGGGGTACAGGAAATGATAAAGAGGAAGAACTTCGCCAGCAAGCCCTAGCACTCACTGGTGGTTACTGGTGCATCTGCGCTCAGACTGTTCCTCTACAGCCGGTCTCCCACGTGTCACTGACCCAATTCACTACAGAGGAAAGCTCCCCTGGAAGCTTCCTGTCCTTCCCTTTCATTCCAGGCTGGGCTGGCTGGAAGAGCCTGAGCCCCAGCTTCTGCAAGCCATCAAAACATGACCGTTGAGGCTGCTGTTCTGTCTTGGGCTTCGGCAGGCGGATCTTCTCGACTCCTGTGTGTTTCCGTCTGCTTCTCTCCACACCTGGAATGGCTGCCTTTTTTCCTTCCCCGTGTTTATTGTTAAACCCATCTCGATGAACCAGCTGGCTTCACGACTGTGTGGAATGAAGTCAGAAGGGCTGTGCCGTGGGCTGCCTTTGAGGGCTCCAGCTCTTGCCTCAGGCCTTGCCTTTTTTCTGCCTGAAAAATAGGAAACGTAACGTGAGTTTTTATGTATCGTTAAGCTTACATCTGTAAAGCACTGACCCGTGGTAGCTGTTTATTACATATTCCATCTTGTGCTTTGATGCATTGTTGTTGTCACACTGAGGTGGGTAATGATGACTCGGCTTACTGCTGTGGTAATGCACTTAAAGCTTTGAAATCTGTCACGGATGGCATTCCAACACAGGTGCTGTAAACCAGAGATGAAATTTGAAGGTATTTGCCGTCAAGCCATTTGTCTTAAAATTCTTGTGTCGCAGTAGAAATTGTGGTTTCCTAAGGTTTAGGATACTGCAGAGTTGTTTTGTGGACAAAGGGCTGTGTTTCAGGAGCTCTGTGTTGCAGGGCTTGCCATCGGAAAACTGGGTGGTTGGTCCTCGGTTTGTAGTGCTGCGGGTGACCTGTAGGAGCTTGTGCTTATCAGGCCTCCGTAACAAAGAACTGCTATTGCGTGGGCCTGGCATCTCCAGTCTTAAAGCACCGTGGAACGCAGACTGATCAGCACAACTTACTATGTATTATAGCCATTGTTTTTGTTTTTTTTTTTTCTTCTATTTTTACAGCCCTTCTGTATGCAACCATTTTTGGTAATGTGACAACCATATTTCAGCAAATGTATGCTAATACCAACAGATACCATGAAATGCTGAACAGCGTCCGGGACTTTCTAAAGCTCTACCAGGTCCCTAAAGGACTGAGTGAACGTGTGATGGATTACATCGTTTCCACCTGGTCAATGTCCAGAGGAATAGATACTGAAAAGGTAAGGAAATTAAACTGCAAGGAAAGAGGTCACATCCTGAAAGCATTTCATGAACATAAACAGGAGGTACTTTCTTAGGAAAGAAGACAAATACTCTTTAAATAGTTCCAAGTAGTAGCTTCCCTTAATTTTAAACTTTCAAATACAGCATTTCAAGTGTTCTGTCATACTGACATATGTTAGTGGTAGAAGTATCTATGTTTTTCTGGTGATGTGGTTGAAATAGTGCGAAAATGATGAAGCAAAGAGCTTGCTTTCCAGTAAACAAAGAAGGTTCCAAATTCTAACACAACCTCAGAATTTCTTCAAATGAGATTTGTTAAAAATACTGTTTCTGTTGTGTGAAATTGTTTGCAGCTCTTTGGGCCTGAATGCAAAGTAAAATCCGGTTTGTCTCTGTAGAATGTGATACTCTGTGTGCAGGTAAAGATAATGATGAAAGCTGGGAGTCATCACTGTCCCAGCTTATTATGTGAAATGTGCCTTATGTGAGGCAAATGTTACCATCCTAATTCATTGAATTTAGAAGTCAGTTCCCACTGTGTCTTTTAAAATAACAAATGGCCCTTCACCACACCAAATGCAGCTACTTGCTGCTTTCATATTACTTGCCAGCTTTTGTGGAGATAGATACTGGTTTTCTTACCGCTTGTAAAGAGATGTGATTTATGGGGTGCTTCATTCAGGAACCATACCAATGCTCTGGTCACCAGCCTTCTGGTTAGAGGCTTCATTTAGTAGTCTGTTCTGTAGGTGATGTAGTTAAAGAGCAAACAGTTTCATTTCTGTCTAGTTTTAAAGCATCGTTACGGAAGAGTAGAGCAGATGTGGCCTTGCACTTGGGCTCTCTGGAGACCAGTGGGTACACAGGATGCTGTTTGCTTTCCTAAATGCCTTTTAAATTCTAGACCGTAATCGTGGGAAGCACTGTCTGCCATACTAGCTCTCAGAAAGAAATAGTGTTTTAGTATTGGATAGTGCTGATTTGAGGCTTCTCTGCCTCTGTTCTCACCAAATACCTGTGTGCAGCCCTGTGGGTTTGAGGTAGGCGCATCTGGGGAAGGTGGAGAGGCAATATCTGAGGATACATAGTGTAATGAATGCTTGCGCTTTCATTCATCCCCCAGTACAAGCTCCTCTCATCATTTTAACAAAGCAAAGAGAAAAAATGGCTATGTAAAACACGTTTGGTTTAGCTTATCTTCAAAGTTCATTCTTGACTTCTGATAAGGAGAAAAGTGCTTGAAGAGAATGCCTTTGGAGACAGCAGGATAACCCAACCTAGCACAATTCGGTGTCGCCTTTAAGAATTATCTTAATAAACAGGCAAAAAAGTCTCCGATTGTAAGGACATCAAAGAGCTTAATACCATGTTGTTTTCAATAACTGGGGCGTGCAGAACTGAACTGCTGGGAGCGATGACTTGTAAACCCAAGAAATCAACTTTCATCTGCATACAAAAGCTAGCAGATGTAAAAGTGACTAATGGCTGTGCCAATCCAGAAACTCTCAGGTTTGAGCTCTCTTGGTTTGATGCCTCTGCATAACTTCTAGGTTGTCATGCAATGAATAAATCATGAATTGCTGCTGGGGCAGAACAGTGGTAATTGTGCTGCTGTGTAATGCAGAGCAGCTTTCTACACATGAGGCAGATACTCTAAAGGTGAACTTGGCACAGACTCGATGCCTACACTCTTGTAGGCCACGTTACTTGTCAGTTCACTGTTAACTGCAGGCATGCCAAGGAGTGAATAATCAGCTAGAAGCAAAGTGTGTAAGTCTGGAAAATAGCAGCATACCAAAATTTAACCAAGAGCTGCTGAAAGATTCTAGAACGAATCCATGAAGATGTTTCCTTACCTCCCACAAAAATGGTTTTCTACCATTTGTAATTCTCAAACGTCTCTAATCCATTTAATTTTTCAGTCCAGAGACAACTTCTTTAAATAGAGAATGGAAAATGAGTTAATTTTGCCTTAGAGTGGGAAATGAAGGGGGTTTTGTGTAAATACTTGCTTGAACATTCGGATTTTCGTGCTACTATTTCTATTACAACAACCCTTTTTGTGCATGGTATTCAAGTAACTGCGAAGTGTGTGCGTGTCGTTCCAGTAGCACAGTTTGGTAAGCATCTGCAGATACAAAATGGTTCTTTTGCCAGAGTAAATGAGGTAATTGCAAAGACAGTTGTGGCCACTGCCCCTGTTCTGTGTTAAATGCTGCTCTTCCTGCCTCAAGCCATTGCTGGGAGCCTGGAAAAGGGAGAACTGGCAGGTTTGACTGCTGTTCCCAGTGGGGCAGCCAAGGCAGATCATCCATGAGTGCCCTACACTTAAGAGCAGTCTGCTTGGAGGTGAGCCAAAGATGATGATTTTGGTGGCAGAGTCACTTGCCTTTGGAGTGGCAAGTGGGGCATCTGGAACCAGTGCCATGCGCGGAGTTATGAGCTTGGTTCTCTGCTCAGGTCTTGCACAGACCCCCACTGCAAGGTGTATGTGTAGCCTAGTTCTTCCTGTGTTTTCTGGGAGCGTTTGCATTGAAGCAGCCATCACTTTCCATGCGGGAAAATGTGTGGGAGTAACTCTGAAGCTCACCCAGAGTCCTCCTAAATCGAATGGAATAGTTATTACTGAGGAAAAAAAAAATAATGAGGCAGACTTGTAGCACTCAGTGTTGTTCTCAGATAATACGTCCTGAGATGTGCTTCATCGCAGGCTACCCTCCAAGGGTTTTATCATCCCCAAATCCTGTTCACGGTAATGTGTTTCCAGTGGTTTTGCCAGGAACTTTAAATCTGTACATGCAGTGGTAATTCTGTATTCTGTGCACTCGTCTGTCTGGTGGATTACATTGAAAACCTTCAGAAATGGCCCTGACTGGTACCCGCTGTGCTAAGCATCAGTCTGTGTACCCTTAGGAGCACACGTCAGGAATTGCCCTGAGGAGCACTGCATTCGGGAGATCAGAAGTTGCCCAACACACCTTAAGGTCCCTTTCTTGTGTGAACAAAGCGACTGCCACTGAGGGGTGAATTTGAATGCCTGCAAATCTCAGCGTTAGCAGTTAATGAAACTTCTAATAACTTTTTTTTTGCAGAAGGAATATGAGATTACAGTTCTCTATACAATATTCTCTCGCTTGGAGTACCTAATTTGCGCAGGCTTTTTATGGTATCTATTAAGAGTGACCTACCCTCTAGAAACAATCCTTCAGGAAGCTTTTCTCCACCACTTTCTGTACTGCTGTGCAGTGTTCTATTGTCTTAAAAACCTGAGGCCTTCTCCTAGTAATTCAATATCCAGCAGAGCATGTTGCTGAGATGAAAACGTTGTTTTCCCTTCAGGTATGGAAAGCAGAGCATGTATTGGGGCTTATCTGTATAAATAATATAAAAATAAACGGACAGATTGAGATCACATATTTTATAAGAAGGAGGAAAGTAGTTCTTAAACCCTGCGTAGTAAAATATGAGCCATGCACAGGAAATAACGACCCGATTTCCTTCTCAGGTGTTGCAGATATGCCCTAAGGACATGAGAGCAGATATCTGCGTGCATCTGAACCGCAAAGTGTTCAAGGAGCACCCAGCCTTCAGGCTAGCAAGTGATGGGTGCCTTCGGGCTCTTGCCATGGAATTCCAGACAGTGCACTGTGCTCCGGGGGACCTGATCTACCACGCAGGCGAGAGCGTCGACAGCCTTTGCTTTGTGGTCTCGGGGTCTTTGGAAGTGATCCAGGATGATGAAGTCGTGGCTATATTGGGTAAGTTTCACAGCTGATTACAGGCACTGTGTGCAAGTACAGATGCCTAGAGCATTTTTATAGCCTCTTCTACTCTAGCACCTAACTCATTCTTTCGAAAGCTTCAGCCACAGCCTGGTGAGGTATATGTTACTGTCCTTCCTGTTCCACATAGGTAAATGCAAAGGGCATTCATCTCAATTCCAGATTCCTCCAAGCCTGTTACTCCTGGTCAGTGGAAACTGTACTTGAGCGTTGGAATCCTGGTCATTGGGGTTCCGCCTGTCTCACCACATCTCTTTGCATTGGAAATTCCATTGAGAACTTCAGAAAACTGGGTTTTTTTTCCAAGTGCCTGGCTTCCCTGTGTCCCTCCCAGTGATAATGCAACTTGCTGAAAACTTCCCAAGCAGATTTATTTAGTATCTCGTGCTGAAATAATATTTATCTCTTTTAAAGTCAAAGTAATATAATAATTTAGAGTTGATTTTTCTTAACTTGGAATGACAGCTTCAGGGTGGAGGCATTGAGAAGAAGCTGATAGTGGTGTGACCAACGTTCTGAGGCAAAGCTAGGAGAAAAGAGTGTGATAATGCAATAGGTGTAGATGAATCATGGGGCTGGAGCATTCAGGAGGTGTTACTTATCATCTGATTCTGTCAGACCCTTATGTGATAAAGTAAATGCTCACAGTGGCTTAATCCAGTACCTGTCACTCAAAGCAGCCTGGAAAGAGGGAACAAAACAGCTTGGTAATCTTCCTCTTTCTGAACACGTACAGGTAGCTCTCCTAGGTGGAATGTCTACTGGAAAATGAGTTGTTTTTCGCTACTTGTGTACAGGATTGACTATGTAGCATAGGGTAAATTTATTGTCCTGGGGAATCAAGTTCATCCTATTTTGTGCCACACAAGAAACTGAAAAGGTGAAAAGGAGATAACTGGTTCTCTTCTGTTCTGAAATCACCTGTGCTGTTCAGTGCTATATGATAAAGCCTCTCGGTTTGTGCCACCTTTTATGCCATTAATACCTCCTCCTGTGGCCATCACAAGAAGAAAACCTTAAAACATCTTGCTGCTCTTTGTAATCAGTACGGGTAAAAAACCACCGAAATAGATTTGTTCAAAATGTCCTTTAAAGAGCCTAATTTTCTCCTCCTCTTTAGCAGTAACTTCTGTGTTTTATCATAATCCTCACTTTAGATGAACACTTGGCCCACATTCCTTGAGAAATCATTGCTAAGGAAACTTAAATCCTAATCTCTGCTGCTGCAGAGTGATAGCTACAGAGAGCTGAAGTTCACCCATTGGTATCTGAATGAATAGAAATAGTTTGTTATTGTTGTTCTTCTGGGGCAGTAACTGTTGATCCCCTTCCCTCCACACCTTTAGTTTTTTGGAAGTTGGAGTCATTTGTCTGGCTTTGTGACTACTGCAGTCAGAGAGGAAAGTCAAATGAAATGGGATGTGTTTGTGATTCCGTAGGATGGAACAGAAGATCCCTCTGCTCTGAGAGATCTGAAGGAGGCAAGAGGCTCTGGGAGCCAGGTTGGTTCCCAGCCTTTCTGCTTGAAATCGGGGTAAGCTTTGACATTTAGGAGAACACTCCAGTAAAAAGCTGGAGAGAGGAAGGAGAAGACCCTTTGGAAGTAGGGTGAGAGGCTGCTGTTCCTCGGTAGCAGTGGGGAAGCCAGGGTCTTGTCCTTAAATGTTCACGCTGCTGCAAGATGTGCAGTTAAGGACTCCTGGAGGGCCTGGCTGAGCAGCAGAGCTTTACTCGTGAGAGTTCTTCAGAGCTGCTGAAGTGGTCTCACTGACCACGGCAGGGGGACCGGTGTGCATGGACTGGAAGACTGGAGGGTAGGCTTGCCGATTTGCTTACAGACTGGGAGCTCTTAAGTCTTTATTTAGCAATTAAAACACGAAGCTTGAGAACCGCTGTGATCTTCAAAGCTGAGCCATGGAGGAGACAGGTAACATTTACCATTAGGTTTAGTTGCAAGGAAAATACAGCCCCCCAGAAAAGCTAGCTTATCCCAAGAGTAACATAGTTTATGCTGTTCTGCACTTACTGTGTTCTTGCTATCCTTATTTGAGCTAAAAACTTTCAAAAGAAGAAACTGTTGGTTTAGCAGAGAGAATGCATCATCGAATTTCCTGGGCTTGGAAGAGACCTGTGAGTCCAACTCCTGCCCCCGCGAAGGGCAGGGGAAGTGAATGAGATGGAAAGGGAAATTAAGGCAGTAGTTTACTGTGAGGAAGGAATATCGTTGGCCTCCACAAAGACAAGTTTGCTGTTGCTGTTCCTTCTGCTTCTATCAAAGCTGGAGGGAAATAACATAATGTAGATACAAGTATGAGAGCAAAGTATGCAGAATGTCAAGAGCAGGAATCTGTAGCTTAAGCCTGGCTGCTGCCTTCCCCATCGGGGGAAAGTGGAATATATCACTTTGGGGGGGACGTTGGTGGTGGGAATTGTGCAAAGGATACGCACAGATTTACTTTTAAGATCACATGTGAGCTAAGGAAGTGAACATCGGATGTGCCCGAAATACAGATGGTTTATTCTTACTGGAGACTGTGCTTTGAACGTGATTCTGTAGGAGAGCTTGGGGTGCCGTGTTTTGTTTCAGCAGGATATTAAATGCTCCGTTTGCTTTGTGTGGAGAAATTCCTGCTGATTTAATTTGATCTAATTGCAATCTTAAAGGAACGTTAGAAGAATAATTGTTTGTTTTCTTTACAATTGCTTTAGCTTACTCATTTAGCCACGAGCATTTCATTCCGATGCAGACACAAGAGGTTTGATTTGGCTTTTCGTGGGACAGATTTGCATCCAGATAGGACAGTGCAAACTGCAAGGGGATGGTTTATTTCAAAGGAAGAAAAAGAGCAGTGCAGAAGTGTTGTCTGTTGTAGATGTTCACAGTGGAAAAGCATTGCATCTTCCATGCAGTTGTGTGTGAAGATTGCTTCTCGGCACACTTGAAGATGTTGGGTAAGCTAAGGGCCCAGGCTGCTATCTTTAGACTGTCCCTCATACCTGAGCTAGCTCAGGTTTCCCTAAACTAAACTGCTTTGTGTACAACCCCATTTTCAGAACTTAATTGTGTGGTTTGGGGCCTTTTATTACTTAATCATAGAATCCCAGCCTGGTTTGGGTTGGAAGGGACCTTAAAGCTCACCCAGTTCCGACCCCTGCCACGGGCAGGGACCCCTTCCACTGGACCAGGTTGCTCCAAGCCCCTGTGTCCAACCTGGCCTTGAACACTGCCAGGGATGGGGCAGCCACAGCCTCTCTGGGCACCATCTGCCAATGCCTCAGCACCCTCACAGGGAAGAGCTTCTGCCTAAGAGCTCATCTCAGTCTCCCCTCGGGCAGGTTAAAGCCATTCCCCTTGGCCTGTCCCCACAGGCCCTTGTAAGGAGTCCCTCTCCAACTTTCTTCTGGGCTCCCTTTAGGTACTGGAAGCTGCTGTAAGGTCTCCCCAGAATGCCAAGTCTTTGGAAAGCTTAAACCACGACACTTACTTACCTTCGTGCCCTTCATTTTTCACCTGAGTTTGAAATGTAGGGCCTGCTGTGTTCAAAGTGCCAAGCTGCTGTGCTCTCAGGCTTAAGAAGTGGTGGCAGGATTATGGATGGCATTAGAGTTTTCTTATTATTTTCAAAGACGGTATTAACGTCACAGCATTGTTTGTGCTATTGAATAAGACTGATGTGACCAGCAGTGCTTTGCAAAAGGAATGCTTGAGATTAAAATCCAGCTTTATCTTCAGCAGGCCTATTGTGCTTTTTCTATTTATAGTTTCAAGCTTTTGTTGCTTCAGGTCGACACACAGAGGCAGGTCGGACAAGTTGCTTATTTCTCTGATTTAGTGATCGTCAACTAAAGGAACAGTTTTAAAAGTCTGGTTTCCTCAATGTGTGTCCGAAGTATTAGAACTGGAGAGCCAGCTAAACCTTTTGAAAGACAGTGGCACGAAGAGGTCTACTTTAATGCCAAGTTTTAATTTCATGGTGGATGTAGGAGCAGCGTTAAAACTTGAGAAATAGAGGTTTCTTTCTTGAGAAATACAGGTTTGTTCCATGTGATATTGTTGGGCAAAGACTGTTCCTCGTTCCTGTGCTCCAGGTATCCAGAAAACGTAATATGGGTTGGCCTCGGGAGTTGCCTATTTTGAGACTTCAGCCAGGCATGCCTTTTTTTTTTTACATCTAACTTCTGGTAGAGCATTAAAAGCAGGAATCACCAAAGCTGCTGTCCGCTGCTGTGTATAGATGGTCTAAGACTGTGCAGGGGGTGGGAGAAAGAGATTTTTAAACCGCTTGCTTAATGCCTGCTGAAATAAGAGGGGTATTCCCTGTGAACAGAGGCCTCAGCAGTGAGCTTCTTGGCACTTCACATTGTTGGGAGTTTTTTCCCCGTGGTTTAACGTTTTATTGTTGTGAATTTCTGCAACTTTGCCTAATGTCATTTAGGATGAGTTCCTTCCCCTCGGGACCAGCAGCCAAGCTCCTGATACCCTTGTACTGAGTTAAGGTGAAACACCACCAATCGGTCGGTTTTATGATTTATTAATACAAAAGACAAGGCGTGTGGTTAGATATAATAAACTCAGCAATGATCACTTTAACTGGATCAGCAAGTCCTGTGCCACATGTTTTTACTTAGGTTTAGTCAATATTCAATGAAAAATAGGAGGAGAGAGAGAAAGGGAGAGAAAGAGAGGGCGAAGAGAACAAGTATCACTCCCCGTGTATCCAGCACATCTGGTTGGTCCTCTTTACCCAGAGTATTGGTGGTGGTGGGAGCTCCCCATCTGACCTGAGCCCTGCCCTTTTATGTTCACGTTCTTTGGGGTGTTATCCATAATCTGCATGTGAGGTGTGGTGTGGAGAGGCATTACTGTGATAATGACGCGTGTAGTTCAGTGATCACCTGTGCAGTTCCAAAGCTGAGGCTCCCAAAGGGTCCTCTGGGTGCTTGTTGTCCCTCATATCCTGATGTCTGCTGTTTGA